CCTTGCTGCTGGAATCAGCTTCCAGAAATGATCAGACATGCTCCAACATTAGGCACATTCAAATCAAGACTGAAAACACATCTGTTTAGCTGTGCCTTTACTGAATGAGCACTGTGCTGCGTCCGACAGATCGCACTATTATGTTTTTCGTTTTCTTTTTCATTCTTTTATAACCATTTTAACTCATTTTAATTTGTTTTTATCTGTTTTTAATAATTTTTATTGTCTGCATTTTATTTTCCTAAACTTGTCTTTTTTATTCCTGTTTATGTAAAGCACTTTGAATTGCCACTGTGTATGAAATGTGCTATATAAATAAACTTGCCTTGCCTTGCCTAAAATATCTAAGACGGATAGAAAACTTAAGATAGATATTTTAAGATATATTTAAGATAGACAGATATCCTAAGATAGATTTAATATAGATGACTTAAAATAGATTTAAGACATATAACTTAAAATAGATCTAAGATAGATATTTTAAGGTATTTAAGATAGACAGATGAGTTTATATATATATATATATATATATATATATATATATATATATATATATATATATATATATATATATATATATATATATAAATAAAGACAGATATTGTAGATAAATATTTTAAGATATATTTAAGATAGATAAATAGATATCTTAAGATATATTTAAGATATAACTTAAGATAGATTTAAATAGATAAGACAGATTTGAGATAGCTATCTTAAGATGGATTTAAGATAGAAAGATAACTTAAGTTAGATAGATATTTTAAAAAATATTTTAGATAGACAACATGATAAATATAAGATTTAAGATAGATTTAAGACAGATAACTTAAGGTAGATTTAGGATATATAAATAGACAACTTAAGATAGATCGATAACTTAAGATAAATAGAAGATATACAGATATCTTAAGGTAGATAGATAACTTTGAATAGCTAACAAGATAGATTTAAGATAAAAAGATAACTTTAGATACATTTAAAATAGATTGATATCTTAAGATGGATTTAAGACAGATAACTTAAGACAGATTTAAGATAGATAACTTAAGACAAATAGATAACTTAAGATAGATAAGATAAATAGATATCTTAAGGTAGATAGATAACCTAAAATATAGCTAACAAGATATTTTTAAGATAGATAGATAACTTAAGATATATTTAAAATAGCTACATTTGAGGTCAGAATTATTGATTTTATTCTGACTTTAACTGTATATAAAGTTATATCTTAAATATATATCTTATGTATCTTAAGATATATTTAAAAAAGCTAGCTTAAAATAGATTTAAGATAGACATCTTAAGACAGATTTAAGACAGATTTTTTAATATATGCTTAAATTATATAATGCTTAAGATATATATTGTAAGACAGACAGAGACCGATAAATAGATAAAGTATACCCTAACTATAAATGTTGGCATGTACAACACAATACAGTTACATCACAAATCAGCAGGGAATCATGGCACTTTTATTTATTCGAATCAAACCCATACATGACTAAAAATCACAGCGTACACATCTCCAGTGTACATCATGATTATTCCACCACACATTTAAATAAAATCATTTGACTTTTGTTCGCAGGAAAGGCTCCGAATTACCTTTCACACTACAACTCAAAGCAAATCTGTACATAAAGCTCTGCAGACATTCAAGTACCTGTGAACAATATGTGGATTCAATCGATAATCCAGTAATCAGTGTTTACGTCCACCAAGCACAAGGGCATGTAACTTTGATTTTGTTCATATATAAAAGCGAGGACAGAAAGCTTGGAAATGCCACAGACTGATCACCTTAACATGTTTACGTTCATTTGAATCTAGAGCTAACAACATTGATGCAATATGGGAGTGTTGCTTTGACTCCAAGTACCCGTCTGGATGAGAACATTACAGAGTAAAGACAACATTAAATCACGGTTTAGTCTTATGAAACTAATCGTTTCCAAGTAAATGAGGCTGAGAAATTCAGTCAAGTGAAAGTGAGTCAATTCTGTACCACCCAAAAGAACTGCAAAAAAATATTATATTATAATATATTACATATTATTGTTACGTTTTTGTTTTGTATTATGTTAATTATTGTTGTTATGTTATTATTTTATGTTTTTTTTTTTACAGAAAATGTGTTGAAAAGCTTGACGTCATGATGCTAAGGCATTGTGGGTGATTGTGATAGTGTGTTATGCTGTATTACTTGCGTTCTAGACATTTAATCACTGGTCCAAAAATAAAAAAAAAGCCAACACAGCCCACACTTCTAATAAATTCTGGTCCCTTTTTAACTTTAAAGTGTAAGTTTGTAATTGACATAAAATTGTTAGATGAGTCACGACTTTTATTTTAACAAACTACTAGTTTCTGTGTTGTGTAATACTTTGGTTTATCATTTTGGAAGTTGCTGACGTCAGATTTGGTGGCTTGAAAACTGTGGTGTTTAATACTGTGTGTTATAAAATTATACTTGATATTTGATGATACAGGCATATCATTTAAAAACACATCTGGGAAATCAAAATTTCTGATTATTATAAATATTTATCCAAGCTCAGTGCTTCCCACACATAGACTTTACTTGGGCGGGCTGCCCAGGTATATTAAAGGCCGCCCAAGTATATTTAGTGACACTTTGAAATTATTTTACTATTATTGTCATCCTTTTACCCTTTTTTTTGTATTCGCCCAATATAAACATCGGTGATAGATTAGGTAGTGAAAAATCTTCTCTCGTTTACCCTATTCATAGCTACTGTTTGAGCGAGACCGGTTAACACTCCCACAGCAAGTCTCACGTGCTCTGCAGGGACACCAAGAGACACGCCTTTTTACGTCTTATGGCCCGTTTCCGCTGAGTGGTACGGTACGGTTTGGTATGCTTTTATGGTTATTACCACCGTTAAAGGGTACCTAAAAGGGAACTGTACCACTTTTTGGGTACCCTTTGCAAAGGGTACCTAGCACGAAAAAAGTACCAAAAGGCAAAGCAAGACACGCAGCTAAATGCTGTTGGTTTACAGAGATACATCAGTCGCAGAAGCAGGAGAATGAAAACAAAGGAAACAGTATTTTTAAAAGCACGGTCAAGACATGACACTGTAATTATATATACATATAATAACAAGTCATGATCGTCACACGTCTATATTTGTAATAACGAACTTCTTGAGCCGATAATAACGTAAGCGTGATTACTGAAGCGCTTCTGATATCTGATCCTTTCAGAAACGGACAAACAAGAAGCCGGAAAAAAACAGCAAATGATAGTTTCAGCAACCTAAAATAAACAAACTGCCCTGATTAAGTTTTTTCATCAACTTTTAGACTGTTATGAACTCGGGAATGACAGAATTACTTTCCAACAGAGGTTACATGTGCTGGTGAAAATTAAAGATGCAGATGAGAGGTCTGCTCTGACTGTGGGCTATATGTAATATAGTGGGTTTTTTTTTGTTTTACCAAAATAAGGACTAAATGTATGCTGTGTGTAGTTTTTCTGTAGTTGGTAACATATCAGAGACTGTAAGAGTCTGTAAGTGTTGATATGTTGAATTAATTTTTTTATTTATTTTATATAATTTCAAACAATACAGTAGGGTCAAATCCTGTTCATAGAAAGGTTAGTAATGAACATTTATATACAAGTATTTATATGTATAAAGCATCTGTTTTGTGAGAAGTGCTTCTCATATGATGTGTAAACAACCCGTACAGCTTTACTGTGACATATCCTTGAGTAAAAATTACATTGTCTGAAACTTTTTTCATACACCACACCCACCAAGAGGGTACTAATGCTCTCCTTATGGTACAATTAGAAGCCGTTTGGTAGTGGAAAAGCAAGCCTTAATAAGGTGAACTGTACTCTACCACTCAGTGGAAACGGGCCATAAATGCGTGTAGCCGGGGTTTTTAAATCTCCAAAAAAAAAAATGTCCAGAATTTGTTTTTGCTTTTGCTTTCTTAAGCTGTTATCAAATGTACGTGCACAGCAGCGAGAGCAAAGAAAACATATTTCCTGTTTAAATGTAAATTCATTCCTCATCTTAACGACTCAGAAAAACTTTACCAAACAGTCGAAGAGGATAAATTAAATCTAAATTAGCTGCAAATTATTTGTATACCATTAGAACTGGATAATAAACTCATTTGCCTCACTGAAATAATCTAAATTAAATCTAAATTAGCTGCAAACTATTTGTATACCATTAGAACTGGATAATAAACTCATTTGCCTCACTGAAATAATCTAAACATTTTATTCTTGAAGATATTAGAATTTTTATTCCTTTTTCTCTGTGATTTATTTCTCATTTGATGTATATTTTATTAATTTGATGATGTCAATATATTGCATGTTATACATCTAAAATGCTTTGGCAATACTGTACAAAATGTCATGTCAACACTTGAATGAGAGATAACGTTAGAGAGAAGCAGATTTTACCTGTCAGTGGGTGCACATGGCTCCTGAATAGCATAAAGTAAGAGAAATAGTGGACTGACTTTTTTTTCTAATGTCAACCCATTGAAAAGAAACAGTGTATAACAGTTTCTTAATAAATTAAAATATTGTTAACAATTGAGTTATGTTTTGTTGGTCGCACATACAGTTGAAGTCAGAATTATTAGTGCCTCTGAATTAATAGACCCCTTGTTTATTTTTTCCCCAATTTCTGTTTAACAGAGAGATTTTTTCCAACACATTTCTTAACTTACCAGTTTTAATAAGTCATTTCTTATAACGGATTTATTTTATATTTGACATGATGACAGTAAATAATATTTTACTAGATATTTTACATGACACTTCTGTACAGCTTAAAGTGACATTTAAGGCTTAATTAGGTTAATTAGTTTAACTAGGCAGGTTAGGGTAATTAGGCAAGTTATTGTATAACAATGGTTTATTCTGTAGACTATTGAACAAATATATAGCTTAAAGAGGTTAATATTTTTTACTTTAAAATGTTTTTTTTTTTTTTTTAAATTAAAGGCTTTTATTTTAGCCGAAATAAAACAAACAAAACTTTCCCCAAAAGAAAAAAAATGTCCTTGCTCTGTTAAAAATCATTTGGGAAATATTTAAAATAAAAAAAAAAATTAAAGGGAGGCTAATAATTCGGACTTCAACTGTAGATAACTATTAATGTGATGTGGGTAAAAAGTTTTTCAATACGGCTACCACCACAAGTATATTTAAAACCTGTGGGAAGCACTGAAGCTGATCTAGTTCACAGTTTATAAGACATTTAAAGAGAAAACCCTATTGAATGTGTCTTATGTAGTGGATTCATCTGTATTTCACTCCCTCCCAAGCGATGACTTACAAATCATTATTTATTACGAGACAGAAAAAAAAAGTGTCCGCCCTTATGAGGAAATAAAAGAAGAATGATGAGGTATTTTTGAGTGAATGTGGCATAAGTTAAATATTTTCATGGGTGAAAAGGGAACATCAGATTTGGCCTCAGAGATTGTGATGAAATCATGACAAAAGGATTCTGTCAGTGTCAATTTAAACGACAAGATTCAGCCATTTGGAAAGCTTTGAAACTGTTAATAATAAATAGAGAATTGTCATTTATAAGAGTATTGAAGGCACCTGGACGTTGCGTCCGTCTAGTGCACCAGCAACTCAAGAGTGACAGATGACTGGAGCAAATGTTGATCGAAGGCGAATCAGCTCACACAGAGGAGAACCAGGGGGCGTGTCTTATCTATGATGTCACAGACGGGCTCCAATCAGAGTTCAGAATGTGTTTGGTCTTCAGTGAAGGAAACGGATGCTCATCTTTTGTTCGACATCCACTTTTTCCAATACCTGAGGACAAGAAAAATAAATATATAGTGTGTTACGCACCGTTTTATAGCAAAACATTGTTTTTGCATGCCCTGGACATGATTTTGTGCCATTTGGATTTTCATAATGTGTTGTTTCAGGTTAAGGAACATACTATTTGGGTATTTAAAAGGATAATTCACGCAAAAATTAAAATATCATCATTTACTTCCTCTTCACTAGTTTCTTTCTTTTGTTGAACACAATGGAAGATATTTTGAAGAAAGCTGAAAACCTGTAACCATCGACTTCCACAGTAGGAAAAACAAATACCATGGAAGTCAATAGTTACAACTTGACTTAGACAAATGGTTCAACAGAAGAAATTCAAAGGTTTTAAACCACTTGAGGGAGTATAAAAGTAAATACATTTAATTTTTATTAGGTGAACGACCCCTTTAAAAGTAAAAAAAAAAAAAAAACATCTTATTTATTAATTGTAACGTAGCTGTCCTACAATATAAACAGTCTGCAAAGTTGTTAATCAAAAAAAGTGTGTAATAAAGATATTTTCACTCAAATGAAAGAGTCTATGAAACATTTTAATGGGTTGTTATATTTTTATATTATAAAGTTGTCATATATTTAAATCCAAAAATCAAACAAAAAGTGCTTCATGTGTCGGTGCTCTTTGGATAAGGGATTCATAAAGATGAACAACAAAATCATACTGTAAGCCCAAGGCACTCAAAAAGCAAGTGAATTTTTGAAACTTATTTTTTGAGTTCCTTGGACTTATGATTTTGTTGTTTACTCTGAATAATCCACGTTGGAAAAACAAAATGCTTATTTTAGTCATTCATTTTCTTTTCAGCTTAGTCCCTTTATTAAAGGGTCATGACACCCCCCACTTTCGGTTCAGGTCTACCTCAGAATTTTTTCAAAAGATGCATCATAATGGGCGTTGAGCTCCGCGAGCTAAGGGCAGGAGTGGGCGTGGCCAGCAGGGTAGAAGGAGGGGAGCGAACAACTGTTGTCAGTCGACTCACAAAATGAGTCACAAACCGTGAGGAGACGCATGATTTTCATTTACAAAGTTAAAATGCAAAGAAATAAACAGTAATTTAATGTCCCGCTACATTTGTTAATTGTAATTTCATATACATAAAACCACAATTTATATCATTATAAAAGATAATCGTGTTCATATAAACACTATAAATGAGGACTTCTCCCTTCAATCCCCGGGTCTGAATCATAGGTCTGAATGCAGACTCAGTGCAGCAGGTCTCTTGCCCTGTCTATTTTAACCATAAGCCCTGTAAAAAAATTAATTTAAGCAAACACAGCAGCACCGCGACATGTCTAAATGTAAACAAACTCCTGATAAAAGAAAACGTCCGCCATTCTTCAATTCTCATACTGCTCTCCCGACAAAAATGCTTGCTGCATACAAACAGCTTTGCTGTATCGGCCCTGACAGCATCGCAAGGAAAAACATACAACAAACCCTGTGGATCATGGAAACAAACACATACGACCCTTCATAAACAGCTGTGTGCTGTGGGTCCGTGTCTCAGCTTGGCACTGGCAGGTCTACCTTGCCTTCGGAAAGCATGTGCAGTCATGAATATTTAAGAAGCCGGCTCTTCTCATAGGATAAGAAAACTCAGCTATGAATAATAATGAAAAACCGACACATCATCTTTGCACTTGCAGTTCTGTGCTACATCGCCGATTTTGATCCCGCCCCAAAAATCATTTTAGACCCGGAAGCTAAAATTAGCTGACAAAAGCTCAAAATTATAAAGTTTTCCCCACAATTAAAGCTGACAGGTGCTAACATTGTCTTAACTGATGCTGTGAAAATCTCAAAAAGTACTCAACTGACCCAGCATGGATTAGATGTGGAAAAAGACCAATCAAAGCAGGCTTGGCCAGCTGACCAATCAGACCAGGGTTGGCTTACAGAAGGGGGAGGAGTTTACAGACCGTAAGCCCTGAACTGATTTCAAATGAACTGTATTGAATTCATTGCAAAGTTATTTTCAATATTACATACATATTCTAAGAACAGTACAATGTTTTCGTAAACAAAAACCTTAGATGCATTTAAACCTGTTTTAAGAGACTGTGACACAATATTAGGGCACTATAAAATACCATATGATCTGCTCTTTAAAACAGAAATATGGAAAAATGGTCAAATATAACCTTATAGTGCATCTGCCTATTTCTGAAGAACCATTATTTAAAAAAAACATTCATTTTATATATACATAAATTAATAAATGGATCAGAAAAAAAAAATGTTAAAAATGAGAAAACTCTACTTTTAAAAATCTACTTTATTTGTTAATACTAACTAATGCATAATTTTATAATTTTAACCTTGTTGTAAAATTGTGATTTCTTTCTAGATTATGTTTGTATTTTTTGACTTAAGTTAAAAAATCTGTAAAACCCTTTCACTTAAATATGAATTTTGAACCTGGCTATATTCACTGTTCCTTCCTATTTCTATTATAAAAATAATGCATAAAAAGCATATTTAATGTAACATTTCCAAAAGTTCAATGGTGAACTGTGCCTTTAAGCTCAACTCAAATACCTCGAATGCCTTCATTCCTCCAGGATTTACCTTGGTGAACTCGTTGAAGGAGATGCACATGTCTCCATTAGTGTCTGCCTCCTGGATTGTTCTGTCTGCGATGCTTCCCAACTGCTCATCTGAAATGTTCACTCCTACCATCATCCTCAGCACCTGAATAAACAACACACATGCTTGAGTCTTGTGCAGTTTTACATTGTTCTCTAGTGTCCTCTAGAGGTTGAATAGCAGATTGAAGTTGCATTTTCAAAAGGCATTTAGCATGAGACAAATTTGTTGAAAGACCCCCAAAAATTTACACCAAACCCCTGCTAATATATATGCTAATAATTTTACTAATCATTCATTCATTCATTTTCTTTTTTGGCACAGTACCTTTTTATAATAATAATAATAAAGAACAGTTACATTAACATTGTTATTAATTTCTTACACTGTATTTCTAAAATGAATATTCAAAATTTTGTTAAATATTTCTCAGCTTTTCACTAAATTAACACTAGAAATATATATATTTTTTGGATTTGTTTTTGGCCTTTTTGCCTTTATTAAGAGGGCAGGACAGTATTTCAGACAGTAAGCGAAGTGGAAGAGAGAGGTAGGGACGGGAAATGTTGTCGAGCTGGAATTGGAACTCAGGATGTCCTGAAGTCATAGGCGGAGGGTGAACAAACTCCAGGGTAAGTCTAATATATGTGCTGCGTTTAAAAAGATTTGCTACAGACAAAGAACAGATAAAGAAGAGGTCAAAAGCACCTCTTATCAACAAACATCTACTATATTCAACATGCACATTAAATACATTTAATAAACTAAGCCACTGATCTACACTACTGGTCAAAAGTTTGGGGTCAGTTTTTTTATTATTAATTTAATTTTAAAAAATTAAGATGCATTAAACTAATCCAAATGATTAAATAAATATTTAAAAAATCAGATAGAATTGCAAACAATGTGACAGTGACAACAAACATTCATTCATTTTCCTTCAATCATTTATTAATTTATTTTCCTTCAGCTTAGTCTCTTTATTCATCAGGGGTCGCCACAGCGGAATGAACCGCCAACTTATACAGCACATGTTTTACACAGAGGATGCCCTTCCAACTGCAGCCCAGTACTGGGAAACATTCATACTGCATGTCTTTGGACTGGAGCACCTGGAGGAAACCCACACAAACACAGAGAGAACATGCAAACTCCACACAAAAATGCCAACTGACTCAGCCGGGACTCGAACCATCGACTTTCTTGCTGCGAGGCGACAGTGCTAACCACTGAGCCACCATGTCGCCTTTAACAAACATGCATTTTATAAATTTGGCTTGTTTCTTAGGGTGCACTCACACTATGCTATCCGAACCATGCCCAGGCCCATTTCCCAGATCGTTTGAGACGTGTGAGTGCTCTGAATCAGGCATGGTTCACTAGGCCGTTGGTTGGAAGAGGTGTGCCAGAGCACAGTTCACTTGGGAACAAAACTCTTGCGCTTGTAGTGTGAGTGCAAAGTGTGACTGAGTCAGATACTGACAGCGAGACGTGACTTTTAAGAGACCATTTGATATTGATTTATTAATTTTTTTTACTGTTCAATGAACACAAACTGTCAGATTATTAAAGACGCAAACCCCTCACTGTACGACAGCTGCACCTTCAGCAAACCTCCTAATACCTGCAGCACGAGGACTTTATGATTGTTTATGAGCGTCAAAGGTGGCAGATCTGTTCAGCTAAATATTTGACTCTCACTGCATCCCAAACCCCTAAAATTATATATCTAAAGAAATCTCCACTGTGCCGAGCGAGAGCGCTTCTTAAACTGAACAACACATCATCGATGACGTAAGCATGCTCAGGCTTGAATGCATGTGAGTGCGGGGCATCAGGGGAGACGGGAGCCAGGGGAGCCGGTTCAAGGCAACTGTACATAGTGTGAGTACGCCCTTAAACACATCTTTTGATGGTGAAGTGCAGGCATGTTCCCGAATGTTCTCTGAATATAAAAACAGTCCTATGTAATCCCTCTGAAGTGACGTGAATCTGGTTTCAGGTGTTGAACAGAGTCAGAGCTTTATTGTTCAGATGGTACAGAGGAGTTGTTTGTTTCTCCTGATTGAAGCTGACTCTCTTACCTGGAGCAGCTCATCTCTGGAGATCTTGTCATCTCTGTCGAGGTCATATAACCGGAATGCAACTATGAAAGAAACAGGAGAAAAACAAACCTTTGATTGAAATCACAGATTTCATGCTAGCAGTACACTTGACTAACAAACTGCAAGGCCTGGCAGCAGAAAAAAGGTTTCCAAAGTGGAGATCAAATGAGGCTGAACTAAAACAGATGGGGCATTAGAAACACTAATTTAAGATACACATTAGTTCAAGATTCCTTTCTGGAAACGACATTCTTCCTACTTTTAAATGCTGGAAAGAAACATTCTGGTTCTTGGAAGCTGGTCAGGTAGTGAGATAAAAAAAATTAAAAAATAAATAAATAAAGAATAATAATAAATAACAATTTAAGAAGACTATAATTTATTTATTTAATTTTCCAAGGTGATGTTTACCAGAGCAAGCTATTCGTTTACATTAACTCATTTTTTTCCTTCTAAAAAATTATTTAAAAAAAATAATTAAATAAACAAAAATTATTTGTTTAAGTTTGGCTAAAAGCAGTTTTCACATTTTTTAAACTAATTTTTAAAGTCTATATTATTAACCCCCTTTAGGAAAAACCTTTTTCTTTAATTATCTACAGAACATGCCATTGTTGTTCAGTGACTTGCATATTAACCCTACACTAGCTGGCAGCTAGCTCTCTGCAACTCACATGGTCGCCCACTGAAACTAAACAGGGCTGAGCCCGGTCAGTACCTGGATGGGAGACCACATGAAAAAAACTAGTTTGCTGTCAGAAGTGGTGTTAGTGAGGCCAGCAGGGGGCACTCAACCTGCTATCTGTGTGGGTCATAATGCTCCAGTATATTGATAGGGACTACCACTCAGTGAGGGCCGTCTTTAGGATGAGACGTTAAACCGAGATCCTGACTCTAAGGTCGTTAAAAATCCCAGGATGTCCTTTGAAAAAGAGTGGAGTTAGGCTTTAGGCTTTTCGAAGATTGCAAATAATAAGCTCTGTGTTCAAACACTGTTCATTACACTTGCATGTTTTGTCCAACCAGATAATCCTCACACGAATAATACAACTTTGAGCACTTTTGTATCTTAAATGCAAACGCAAGAACTGAAAAGCTAACATTAGGCTATAAATGAACTACAGTGCCTTCAGGGCGCTTGCCTGTGACGTCAGCACCGCCCTGCTACACACAACTTTTCAAGATTATTTTTTGAAATATGCTCCATGACAAAGAGTTAATCTCTTTGTTTATTATATTATTTTTAAACTTTTATTTTTAAATAGATTTTTTACATGTTTATTTACACGTTTACTGAGAGCAGGAAAAAGACAGGCTGCACTGGTGAGCAGTATTTCATAAGATTGTTTAATTAATGTTAATGATCAACAAATGAATCTGTCTTGACGGTGTTTACAAGTGAAAGAATTATCTACACACAATCTGAATTCCCAATTAGAAAAATACTACAAACTATGAAATAATATTCATGAAAATAAATCACAGACAAATCCAAATGCCCAACACAAGCAAGTGGTGCTCGCTGCAGAGCCATTTGGGCGAGCTGAGCTCCAGCGAGGGGGAGCTTAAGCTTGAGCTCCACCTTTTTTGCACTTCTTCTACGAGTGATGTCACTGGGGGTAGGGTTAGGGGTGGGGTTGGTGTACGCATTAAAACAGCTTACAGGAGGCAGAGCGAGAGCTCATGCTCCCCCTCGCTGGAGCTCAGCTCTGCTCAAATGGCTCTGCAGCGAGCACCCTCTCAACGCAAGTGGGCTGCATTCCAGACCAGCGCAGCTCGATGACATGTAATGTCTCCGACACAGCCTGTAGTCCCATTTAGCCACTTGATAGCAACAGACTTTTAAAGAAGTATAACCGATTTTTTAAAAAATCAAGAGGGTGTGTTTTATGTCGTAGAATAAAACGTGAAAGTATCTTGAGTTTTTGTCAGCCACAAACTTTATTTAAGCGATTTAACTGAAATCCCATTGAAAAAACCCATTGACTTTGGGGAGAGGGAACCGAAATTGCTAAAATGCTAACTTGCTTCCAGGTTTTTGCATACAGATTGACGTCATAGTTCCTCCACTCTATTGGCTTAATTTCTCTTTCTCCTCTCCACCAATCAGCTGGTGTGTGGTGTGCAGTCTAGCGCAATATGGCTGCCGTCGCATCATCCAGGTGGATGCTGCACAATGGTGGTGGATGAGGAGATTCCCCACAATGTGTAAAGCGCTTTAAGTGCCCAGAAAAACAATATATAAATATATAAATTAAATAAACTATACAAAATTATTACCTTAGTTAAGCCTTCAAATGACACTGTAAACAAATAATACTAGCATTTTGCAAAATAACTAGCATAATACTAAATACGGTCATCAATCCAAGGACAAAACAAATAAGTTATTAAAATTTATGTTTGAAAATGTCTTTTCTACTTTAAACAGCACTTGGGAAATATATGAAAGATTAACATTTCACAGGGGGGATAATAATTTTGACATCAACTGTATAGGATTTTAAAAAGTTGAACCTCCATTGCCTTTTGATCAAAGCATGCGTGTTTGACTGCTTAAACAAACACTGCGCATCAATAGAAGAGCTGTTTGTGCTGAACTCACAGAGCAGTTTGTTGGTTCTGCTGTTGAGCGGCTCTCCTGTCAGGTCTTTGTTCTTCTCATTGTCCTCCACAGGCCGGAAATGAGCCAGAGTCCTCATGAAGCCTCTGAAGTTCACCTGATCCTCACTGAGACACAAACACACAGCTTATTAAAATGTCGGCTGATCCACAATAGTGGCCTACCAATGCAGGGCCAAACTACCAAATTCCCTTACTTTCACTGATTAATAGGCTGAATTTCCATGACATCAAATGAACGTACAACAAGCTGCTGTTGTGCATTTTCAGAAAATTATTGCCTAAATCGCAATTCAGAGACTTAATAACGTTAATCTGGTTAAGCAAGCAAGTCATTGGACAACAGTGGTTTGATCTGTAGCCAATCAAAAAAAAAAAGATCCTAAGGGGGCTTATATTTACCTTAAACTACTTTAAAAACAAAAGCAACTGGCACTGTTTACAATAAGTCAACTCTGGAAATTTTGAAAGCAGCAAGACTGTGGGTGCATGTTCATAACTTTTTGTCCAGTCTATTTGAAAGAGAATCGATCGCATCAGTTGTGTTTCTAGACACAGTTGCTTCACGAAAGGAAATGGGAGTGCGCACGCGTTATAAACAGTCGCGTGCATCACCTCAGCTGTAAGCGCGAGTGATTATCCTCTCATTCGGTATTCACCTGCTTTGCTCGCAAGAAGTAGGGAACGCAATTATTTTTGTCAGTCGTGTTGCTTCTTAATTCTAAGCCTGTGCATGCATATTGGACCATCCTTATTGTCGAATCCTGCTTTTAAAAATTATTATCTGGGAAAATTATTTTCAACCAGCCAAAGTGGCTAGTGGGAGTGTCTGTCTTACCCGGCACCGCTGAAATCTACCCGCATTTGGCGAGTGCTAATGTAAAGCCCTGGGGCCTCATGTACGAAGACTTGCGTGGAAATCATACTAAAACATTGCGTACGCACAAAGCTGTAAATGTGCGTACGCAGAAAAAAATTCAGACGTATGAAACATTGCGTACGCCGAATCTCACGCATATTCTGTTTGTACATCTGAATGAACGTGAAACTGAGCGCAACATGCACGAGCGCAAAACCCCTCCCTGCCTCCGCCCCCGTATGAATATGCTAATGACTCTACTTTGGCAAAACCCAATGAAAAAGCAACGGCAAAAGCAAGCCAAAAGAGAAACTTTGAACAGAATGTGAATTGGAGGTGCTGCTTTCGGAGGTAGACCGGAGAAAAACTGTTTTATTTCCAAGTTTGTCCTCTGGAATTAACAACAAAAGAAAAAAATAGAGTGGGAGAGTTTAGCTGATGCGGTTAACACAGTTGGGTCTGAACATCGCACTGAGTGGATTAAAAAAGAAATAGTGAGATCTATAGGTGTAAAACTTTGTAGTGTCTTTAACAGCCTAAGTGGCGTAGCTCGTTAAACCCATGGCAACATGTTTTGACACGTTCGAATCCAGCGGCTGATGAACTTACTCTTTATTTTCCCTGCTACATATCAGACTTTGCCTATATACTCTTTATCATGAGAAAGACAAGTAGGAATCATTAATAAGCCTGTGCATCAAATTTAATTAGCATATTTATTGAATGGAAATGTTTCTGATTCACTTATGCCAGATCATCCTCAGATGGTGCCTTAATAGCAATGTGTGTGCGGTAGATCGCTCCGATTACATTGGGAAAACCGGCGACCGCTGCAAATTGCGCTTTAATGTTTGGATGGTCAACTATATGGTACGGAAATCTTATATACTAGACATGCGGATGAACCCGTCTCACACAGCTGAGAAGACACTTTGTAGAGTGCAATTTAACACAACTATAGGAGTTGCCATTGGAAATAAAACAGACACGCACAAAAAATGTGCGTACGCCAGCCATAAAGCTGGCGTGGAGCTGCGCACATTCCCACATTCAGTTCATCATTAGTAAATCCAAACCTGAGCAATTCTGAGCGTGAAACCTGGCGTACGCAAAGTTTTTGTGCGTACGCAGCGTTGATACATGAGGCCCCAGGTCTTTAAGTCCTAGAAACTACTATGTAATTTTCCTAGCGCCATTAAACAGCACTTGGGAAATATTTGAAAAATAGTATACAACTTTTTACAAGAGGGCTAATAATTTTGCCTTCAACCGTATATAAAGATCTCCAACATTTAGCATCTGGAATGGACTTTTCCATTATTGCATAATATTCCAGAAATTGACCTGTGGCTTTTCTACAGTGCTGCTCCAGACTAGTGCTTGAGGCCTAGACAGAATGCTTTACAGTGTTTTTTTTACTGATATTCCCACAAGAAAGTGACACAAGATCCAAAAAAAATCCTGAGGAAACCAGTAGGCCATGTGACACCACCCACATACAGTGCGTTTTCCATCAGTGTTGATATAGTTTGCAGAAGTTAAAAACATGTTGTATAATACAGTGACGTAATCACAGCAAAAAAGCCATACAAACACTAATAAACTGATTCAGAAAATGTCCTTCTAAGAAATCCAGACAAATAAGAATTTGATGCATTGTGACAGTATATTTAAATCACATTCTGTCACACAATTATTTTAAATTTAAACATTGAAATCATATTAATTACAAGGTATGTATTTTAATTTATCATATACGCATATAGAGCTATGAAAACAAACAAACAAAAAAACATTGAGAGCATTTAAATATCCTCAATTGCTCGTGATCAGTGTGGGGTAAGTTGTTTCTAATTACTAATATTACTATTTGTAATTAGTGCTGGGTTTAATTACATCATTAAATTTGTATTTAAATTGCATTTTTAATTACTATGTTTAAAAAGTAACTCAGTTACTCATCAAGTTATTTAATTACTTGACTCAACACAAAAAAATAAAAATAAAATGCATAAATGCACTATATAAAACTCAACACTGGATAGACAATAGAAATTAAACTTTATGACAACTTAAATCAGAGCCAAACAGTACCTTTTAGCTTCATTTTAAAATGTAAAACTTTAAGAATGATAAACGTAATATTTATTAAAACAAAATATTTCAAAGCAATGACACAATATTTCATGCATATCATATATCCACATACATTTCTAACTCATAGTTCAAGGTTTCTCAAACATGTTCAATCTACCTTATCAAATACTCTACTTGTCCTAATTGATTGATCCCAAACTGTTGAATTTATGTATAATATTTAAACAAGTACAATTATAAATAACTAATTAAATTACCTGAAAATGCAGGGTGCTTTCACACCCGTGAATCGATTCAGTTGTTCCGAAACAGGGATTAAAATGGTTACATTGTTGCTCTTTGCTCTCGGTTTCACACGGCGCAGTTTCTAATTGGACCAAAAAAGCTATAACAAGTCACGTGTGAGTAAACTCTCCTCACATTGGTCAGAGTGTCAGGGTTTATTTTGCAGAGTCCCGCTCAGCTGTCAGGAGAGGTGGTGGTTTGGTGGTGTTTGACAGGGTGCGCGCAACGTATCTGAAGAGTTAGGAGGGATGCGGTGGGGAGGGGTGAGAAGGGTGCGCGACATATTTGAGGACCTGGGAGGGAGACTCGCGATTACCGGGAGATTATCAGTCGTTTGCGGGCATCCGGGAGACTCCTGAAACTTCCGGCCCTACTCATAATTCTCTCTTCATATAGCCGTATGCCTATTATATATCCATAAAACACTGTGATATAACCGCGCTCGGATCGTATTGCTTTCTCACCGCAATCGATCAGCTCCAGAGTTCTTTTCAATCGAGCCGAGACCACCTCATTCAGGCGATCTCTGAGGGATTGATTTGGCGCGGATCCTGGTTTCACATATGCCAAACGAACCGCGCCAACTGGGCAAACGCGACAGGTTCTGAAACAAAAGTCTAGGTGTGAAACCACCCATAAAGTAATCCCTTACTTAGCGTTTTCTGCCAAAAAGTAATCTAATTACTTTGTAACTAATTTCACCCAACATTGCTCTTGATACCTTAGGTATGCAATGTTTTTTATGTATTTATTTATGCTATAAATAAATGTATGTAGGACAGCATGGTGGCGCAGTGGGTAGCACGATCGCTTCACAGCAAGAAGGTTGCTGGTTCAAGCCTCGGCTGGGTCAGTTGGCATTTCTGTGTGGAGTTTACATGTTCTCCCGATGTTTGCGTGAGTTTCCTGCTGAGATTTCCCACACAGTCCAAAGACATGTGATATAGGTCAATTGCATAAACTACATTGGCAGTAGTGCATGTGTGTGAATGCAAGAGTGTATGGGTGATTCCCAGTGATGGGTTGCAGCTGGAAGGGCATCTGCTGCATAAAACATATGCTGGATAAGATATCAATTCATTCCGCTGTGGAGACTAAGTGGAACTAAGCAAAAAGAAAATGAATGAATGAATAAATGTACATATTGACCTTATTGGTCACATACGAGCAGACACAACAAAGACTTCAGGTCTTATTTACTTCTATTAATTTTTAGACATTAAAAACAACTTGTTAGGCAGCTCGATGTTGCCACCTGATTTTTTTTGTTATTACTCTTATTTTTATGTATACTGTAAACACACCTGCATGTACAGTTTGACCATTTTCTATCTTTTATTAATGCTAACCATTTCTCCCAGAGGCAATTGAATTGGAATTTCTAAAACAATCACAAAAAACAGAATACCTCTGCATTGCAGAACAATGTAGCAATATTAATATTAATATTAATAGAGACAGCACAATTCATCATAATCTGAAGGCCACACAGACCAAGGGGAAAGATATTATAAATAACAAAAATAACAAAATGTCTGTGACAAGGTGAACAGTAAACAAACTAAACTCAGAACTTCTTATAAACCACGGACCCCACAAAAATTAGCATTAGTGACACAAAACCAAGGCTCAGCACATAATATAAAAAACTACTGTTATGCCGAAAGGAATGAACCGTACTTTAAGTCCAAAAAAACCTAAAAAATTTTCAAGTGATTTCTTGGCTGCAAGCCATCGCCATCAGTGTTTGGTCTCGCAATACTTCAGTTAATAAAGTATTGTAAGATGCTTCCACCATTACTACAATGGTACAAGCAGACAAAAAATAGAATAAATCTAATCTTCATGTACAAGATAAATGCAGCATACACACTGCATTCTGTACAGTGGTGCAATAAAAACCAACAGATCTGTTATCTTTAAGATGTTCTCACCCCTCTGGGAAGAAGGCATTAATTATCCGATCACCGAGAGGATTTATAGCCAACTCAGGAATCCTCTGGAAGTCTTCACGGCTGAGAGAAAGAGAGAGAAACAGAGTTTATTATTATTATTGTATTATTATTTTAAAAACAATTATTACTTTTTTTAAACTCACTACTACTATTTTGTTTTCGTATGTTCCACAGTATTTAATGCAAACATTGGAAATACTTTGGTAAAACACGTAACATTTGCCACACCAAATAAAGGTTGAATAGAAAGAGAGGTTATGGTCTACGTTTTAGATAAGTCAAATAAAATGAGTACAAAACATCTCAATACTATTCAAGTCTAATGTAACATTGTTGCATCCAGAAAACATTCATTCATATTTTCTGTATCTAAATAGCATGAAAGATCACATTTCTCAAAAAGTAACAAAAACAAGTGTTCTTCTTATAAAAATGGCTCACACTTCCCAATAATGTTCTATTAGTCAATGTATTTAATTATAACATGAGCTAAAAATGAACCAAACATCCATTGCATTTATTATAGCATAGTTATGCTTGTTAATGCATATACAGTTAGTAAACACACTGAGTTAACAAGAACTGATGAATTATAACCTTTATTTTCATTAATTAATGTTGACAATGGGGAATTAATACTGTAATAAATCTATTGTTGGTAATAATAAATACATCAGTGGAACATTATATAGTGTTACCAAAAACATGTTTACATGAATGAAGGTCAACGCACAACAGTAACCCTTTAAGTAATAATTCTCACTATTATTATTTTCCTACTACTAAGATACTGGTTGTTTATTAATACTTAAAGTACATATTCATGATCTTATTATACACATCTAATCCTTAAGCGTAACTATTATCATCACCTTATGGACTATTATGAACTCAGAATGATGGAATTACTTTTAACAGAGCTTACATGTGCTGGTGAAGATTAAAGATACAAATGAGAGGTAGTAGTTTGGTTTAGCTATTGGGTAGGATTATATGTGTAGAATAAGATCATGAATATGATCGCTGTTGGTCATGGGGGAGTGGAGAGCATGAGACTGATTCCAGTGAAGCTCCAGGGACAGACGAGTCTTCGCTGAGGCCAGCTTCCAGCCTCCACTGCTGAGACTGCAGCTCTGCACAAGACTTTTGGCCAGCGGAGAAATTAAAATGGTTGTGCCGAACAGAGTCTGGTTCACTCTCCTATTGGTGAAGTTTTTTCCCTCTCCGCTGTCGCCACTGGCTTGCATGGTTCAGGATCTGAAAAGCTACTCATCGATGGATTTGCTCTTCAGTGTTTGGACTCTCAATAATGACTTCAAACCACACTGAACTGAGCTAAACTGAACTGAACTTAAACACTAAAAACTGAACTACCCTGATCCAGTTACTATGACCATTTATGTAAAGCTGCTTTGACACAATCTACATTGTAAAAGCGCTATACAAATAAAGCTGAATTGATTTGAATATGTACTTTAAGTATTAATAAACAAAAAGTATCTTAGTAATAGGAAAATAATAATAGTGAGAATTATTACTTAAAGGGTTACTGTTGTGCGTTGACCTTCATTCATGCAAACATGTTTTTTGGTAACACTATATAATGTTCCACTGATGTATTTACTATTACCAACAATAGATTTATTACAGTATTAATTCACCATTGTCAACATTAATTAATGAAAATAAAGGTTATGATAAGAACTGAGGCAAAAGTCATAGTTAAAAGTTTGTTAATAGCAAAAAATTTACCTTAAAATAAAGTGAGACCAATTTATGATTTATTTTCTGACCCAACTTCAACAGTTGTGTTTGTCCATGTATTTGACCAAAAACTGAACTTATTTTTAGAGCAACAGAAGTGCCGTTCATTTTCGAGCAGTTTATCCAGACACACATCACCTGTTAAAACACTTGACTTGTTTTGCTTGTTCTCAGTCTTTCTTTGAGCATGTTGCGTCCAGTGGGGTTTTGTATTTAGTTTTATTTGGGATTTAGTTAGTGGACATTATTATGTTTAATATTTTATCATGGATCCTTTCTAAGATAACGGCTTCGATAAACAAACTAAATAAATAAAAATGAATTAAAAAAACAATTAACAAACCCAACTCCGTGGGTTTCCTTAAATAACTTTTCAGTTTTTCGGCATTTTTTCCGTTGCATGATTTATGCAACTTCCTTGACTCCCTCGACCAGGGTTGTATCACCACTGAATGTGTTTCAGTCTCCCTCGGTCTCTCTGTGTGTGCTCTTGGATTGACATTGAATAAAGTAACATGCAATAAAGCTGTGCCTCTCAGTAATGCCCATCCCTAATTCTGAGAAAGCAGTGCTTGTTAAAAGGATGCCTTGACGTAGAACCTTTTATTGTTCATCTAGTAAACGCTGTTATGAGTAATAATGAAGTGATTATTGCGGAGGCAGTGTAATTAGACCCATAATCCCATTATAATAATGAAAATGCAGGATCAATTTGGAGATTAACCTTCTTGGGGACAAAGAAAGTTGTGTAGTTTCTGATTACTTCTAGACTCACAACACACACACACACACACGCACACACAGATATCTGACACTATTTATTGTCCAAACACAAGAGAAACTCTCTCTAATCTCGGTCTGACGGATGTTTGGGGTAATAACAAATACAGCAGGCCAACATCACAGTATTAAAAAATATTCCTAACTAACCACATCGCTGAATATGTTTGTTGAACTAACCATCATGTCAGGTGGTTTTACACCACAGAGGATGTTGTCATTAAAAACAACCTTTTATAAGAAAGAACACTCTGTGACTGCACTCAGTGTATAATGGTAAACAGAGCGAGATCACTTTTACAAGAATCGCACAAAATACTTTACAAGTATCCCTTTTCATGTTGCAGTTGAGGTTTCACCTAAAAAATAAGACTATTGTTGCTTGTTCAAACTACTTACTGAAAATATGGTGAAATAACACAATTCTTAAGGGTTTTGGAGACAACTTAATTGTTTTATGTTCAATCCATTTACATTTGTAAAAACAATTACGTTAACTTGACCAATCTGTGTTTGGACAACATGAAGGAATTGTGTGGATCTCAGCATTTTTTTTCAGTGTACAATAAACAACTTTTCCCATTTTTGGGTTAGTAAGGTGAATATTTTAATGATATTTTTATATACACTTTTAGATTTCTTTTTACAAATTGGGTTGATATCTTAGTAATGTCTAATAATATTACGCGACTATGCTATTTCATTTTTTTTACCAATATTTTCTTAAACATCTACATTTTTATATATCATATCAGATATTTTGGTTGTTGCTAGACTGGATATGGTTGCGGCCGGAAGTTACCGATAATTATTTATATTATTTTTTTAATTTACCATTTATTGAATTTTATTAACGTCTTAAACTTAAATCCAACCGTTAATGCTATCTATTAAAGTACCCAATAAATTGTATTTTTTTATTGCCTACCCCCACCCTAACCCTAAACTCAACGGTCACAGTACTGTAAAAATATTCAATATTGTTATACAATGTCATTAAAAAAAGACACTGCTGGCGTGACTTTCTCTCAGCTGCTGGCGTGACTTTTCCTCCCCTCTGTTTTCCTCTCTGCTGTATGCATTCCCGTGGCTGCACCTGTGCACTGTCGCGGGACCCGACCAGATTTCATGCAGCGCGGGAATAAATTTCCGAATAAAGCACGGGAGCGGTCGGTAACTCTGGTGTAATTTTAACAGGAGTGGGCAGTCTCACAATATCGCTCCCGAGCAAGCAAGCAAGCGCTCGTGTTGTGTGTGTTTGTTTGGTGCAGTATATGTTTGTGTTCATGTGTGAATGAGACACAGTGTGATGCTGTGTGTCCGTGTGTGTTTATAAAGGCAGCTTGTTATAGCCACCCACCAAAATACAACACTGTGTATGGAAAGCATCGTCAATGCACCGTGATGCACAGAAATATCGATTTGAACTCAATCGATTGCATGATATTCGTAACCGAACCGTGAGACCATAGGTTCACACCTCTACAATGAAGGCTATTTTCATGGCAAAAGCAACTTGTTAAATAGAAATGCAATGATAGCCATGAACAAATAATCAAGATAAATTAGATCCAATAAAAATTTGTAAAAAATTTCATGGTGAAACTTTGCTGAATCTTTCTTTAAGTGAGTTTGCTTCATAAATAAAATCTTCTAAAGCCATTTAAAGAGTGACAGTCCAATACAGGGCTCAAAATGAACCTTTTTTCTTGGTAGCACCAGTGCTCATAACTTTGGTGCTACCTAAAGGGTGAACTATCCCTTTAAGTTCTTTCTTAGCAATGCATATTACTACTAAACTTAAAAGTTATGTTTACAGTACATAAAATATTGACAGAAAATGATCTTTAACATTCATTGCTAAAAATATAGCCATGCAACATAAGACCAAAAAAAATTATTGGTAGAATCTTGGGTCAAAAAAAAAAAAAAAAAAAGTGTAGTTTATATGTAATCTTTTCACTTAAATTAAAATCAAATATATATATATACATACATACACACACACACACACACACATATATATATTTTTTTTTCTACCAAAGCCCATCAATACAACAGCGCACATTGAAACACTGCTGCCACATTTACCAGTAAACATTAACCACCATCTCTGTGGCCTAAAGGTTTTCATTACTTTTTCATCTTCCTTATAACAACCTTTCATCGATAATAATCATGACGTGTCCAGAGGTCACTCCAGCAGCAAGGAGACACAGAGGACATTACGCAAACCACTCTGACAAAACTTTATAACAGTCTCTGAGCTCTTAAACAAGGGATATTACCAATAAAAGTACTATTTTTAACAGTGTAACAGGAAAAAACTCTTTCCTCATAGTTAAAACTTAAACATTGGGCTAGTCATTACTTAACATATTAACTCAGAGAACCTGAGGCTGGTGTGAATGTTTAGCAGAGCGCAAAAAAAAGTTCATACGATGGATTTTAATTAAAATCGACCGTAAAGACATAACTGAGCTGCTTGTGTAATACTTGATTCCTCACCAGCCAAAGGTGTTGCAACATCACACTGGTAAAGTACATTATTACTCAACTTGTGTGTGTTTTTTGTACCTGAGTCCTCCGTTTTCTCCTTTGTCCAAACTGTGAAAGCGGCTGTAGAGGCGAGTGATCTGACTGTGAGAGACTGAAACACACACACACACACACACACACACACACACACACACACACACACACACACACACACACACACACACACACACACACACACACACACACACACACACACACACACACACACACACACACACACACACACACACACACACACACACATCAGTGGACATTAAAGTCACGGATGGGATCATCAGACTGACAGAACTGGTTTAAAGTTTCTCTGAAAGAACAAACACACACTGATTTCTCAAGCCTGACTAGAGATAAAGAGAGGCGTATAACATATGAAAGTTCTTATCAATTTGAGATTAGTTAAGACAGGATTTACTAAACTATTTTAGATGCTTAAGATGCTCAAATGTCGAAACAAACCTGGTCTTAATACTGTGCAATTTAGTGAATTTGTTTAAGTCTTTAACATGATATTAGGCTAAATTGTATTTACATAAGAATTATTTAGATATATATATAAAAAATGCAAGACAAAAGTAAAAAATACCATTAAAGAAATATTACGATTAATTAGCATTATTATGCTTGTCACATATATACACACCCTCTCCCAGTGTTATTTGATTATTATTAAAAACAACAATACTGTAATTGTATTCATTTTAAAGTCTTAGCAAATCTGTTGTGGGTTTTTTTTGTCTTATGTTTTTTCTTTTTTACTTTGCTTCACATCACGTTAACTAAATAAAAATGAGAACCATTTTCTTGTTAACTAAAAGAAATAAAATACATTTTAGATCTTGCATAATTTATTTTAATTCATATTGTGCTAAATGTTGTTTATTAAAAAAAAAATACTAAATCTAATAATAAAAATGATTGCTAAAATAATTTGTAGGATTATTTTATTATAACCATTTATTCACTGTTAAAGGTTTATTAATATTTTGTTTGTTCGTGAATTTTAGTAATTTTATTTATTATTAATATTAGTAATTTTATTGTGCTTGCAATTCAAAAAATATATAAAATATTTTATGAAATTATAAAATATTTCCTTGCTAACCAAATAAAATTAAGTTAAAGTTCTTACATTTTATTAGAACCATGTTAAGCTGCTTTGCTTTGAGTTGTCCCAAAAAGATTCAGGAATTGTGTTGTTTCAGCTCATTTTCAATAAGTATTTAAACAAACAGCAAACTTTTGATCGTAAATATACAGTGCTCAACATAAATGAGTACACCTTAGTAGGAGTACAAATGTATATATTATATAGAAATATTAAATACAAATAAAAAAAGAGAAAAAAAAAACGAAGCAAAAAAAATAGAAAACTTTTGTTGAAATTTTGTAGGTTGTAACTATTTTTGCAATATTTAGCTTGAATCTAAATGTATTATACCTATATTTCTAAATATGTTTGGTGCGTAAAATATTATTTAAATAAATGTATCTGTTTAATAAATCTGTTTTGTTTAAATGCACCAAAATTCATTCACTGAGAAATGGATAAAAATATTCATTTACAAAATGAAGCTCAACTAATGATAATAATAAATGTTTACAAAGTCCTGTAATACTTTCGAAAATCACGATTGCAATATAAATCCATGCCTAATATCCAATGGCCAAATGAGTAGTGGCTTGGACCTGGAACCAGTATTCCATGCGTCATGACTTAACAAGCAGATTGAACAACACCTATTCTTGTCTTGTATAATTTTGATACCATTTTTTGCTCCACTTCAAATGTTGACTACTATATATATGGATAATTGATTTTTTTTTTTTTTTCATTACTTAAAATTTATATGAAGTGGATGCGTACAATTTGGACGGCGTTTTCAAAAAGACTAATTTTCATTTTCTAAAAACGCAGTCTCAGCGCGGACAGGAAAAATATGTTTTTAAACGACAACACAACAGTGTGATCATGGCCTAAGAAAACTGGGACATCTGTTCAATAGAGTAAAACCTATAAAGTTATAAAAAAAAAGTTACACAAACAAACTGTTTTCTTCCATTTCACCCCAGTAAAGCCAATCACTGACCACACCAGTGGAGCATCTTTCACAAAAACTCCAACTTTGATCAAATAATTGAAAACGCAACCACCCCGCCTGGCAAACGCAATCCCACAGGATAATACAGCAGCACATGCGGAGATGTTCAACCAAGAGTTAAAACAAACCACAAAGAAAAAAAAAAAGTGTTAAATCCGGTATTGGACCCTGCAGGCTTTGACACAAGAGGACCAGAGCACAACACCAGGCATTTACAAGACGGAAAGTGTGTGGCTTTACAGGAATGTAGTCAAATCTGGGGTTACAAACACATAAAATGGGTCGTGAAAACACATGCATAGAACTCGTGTGGTACAGAAATCTGGAAATATTAGCAGCTCAGTTGATTTAAAATAATTCAAAAGACTGAACTTTGAGTTTGGTTAGTGTGGTCTGCAAAATAAAGACTAAAACGTAACCCATACATAGCTCCAGTAACCAATAAACCGTATCCCCTGACTATTTCTAGGTCTTGTGGGGGTGGACATTTCTCCCTTGCGGTTCATCTGTCCCGAAGGCTAAAGCTCCGAGACGGGAGAGATTGCAAAATGCTGCTTTTCTTGGCGTTCGCACCAACAATTACATAACGTCTGTAAACCTCCAATTACAGCTGCACAGGTGTAAACGGTGTTATTAAAATCTAATCATCTGGATCAGTGCAATGCAGACTAGCAAAACACTGACCTTGACTTCATAAACATATTATTACATACATCAGACAACATTTTTAAGGTCCTATTCAGTGCTGAAATCAGCTATTTTCTGTCTGCAAAAATTATAATAACAAAAATATATTTAAAAAAAATTTACATATAATGTAATCTCAACTGAAACATTGAGAGGGTGTGGTATAGTAGCCCCTCCCCTTTTATAAAAACAGCCAATAGCATTTTGTTCTTATCACAGCTCTGCCAGTGGGAGCGGTTGAGTTCAAGCGCATCAAAAAGAGTCTTGAAGGGGGCGGGGCCTGCAGGCACTGGAGAGCATTTGATTGGTCAGAGGATTTGAGGAGATACCAAAGTATGAGGTGATTTCAAATAAAATCGTTGTTCCATTTAGGCAGATGTGACAAACTGCAAACTTTGGATGTTTTTGTGTTTTAAAAGGCAAATGTTGTTATTGTTTTGGAGCATACCAGCATATAAATATCTTTAAAACTAACACACCTATACTAAATCCTGGTTTATGCTTCAGCGTCAAGTGATCGGCGTGACCCATGGCGCATGCAACCCGCGCAGCTGTGCATTCAAACTGCTGCATGCTGTTTCTGTTGCTCTGCAATAACACATCCGAAACGCTAGTTGGCAGTGAGCCGTTTAAGTTCCTCTGTGTTGAGTTTCTTCGCTGGTGTTTTGTTTTTTTCTGAACGCTACCTTAATGTACAAGTGGTTCAAACTTGCTTATTTTGAGGCAGAAACTGTCGGACGTGCAACAACTTTGATGAAGAGGTACAAACAAAACAAAACTTTCCATCCAGGGGTCTGTTCTTCGTACCTCGCTTAAATGATCTAAGATAATTTGGCAGATCCTGGATCTTTTCATCTTGATAACTGATCTCTCGCTAATTTGGTTCTTCAAACAAGTTTGCGAATCAGATTAGAATGTCTGGATGAACTGATCTGAGATCGCTGTGTGTGTTGTGAAGGACAGATCTATCGATCCTCAAAATCATGATCAGCAATGCAACGATTGGCTGATGGCACAGCAGCGTAATGACATCATCTGATTAATATTCAATTATCCATGTGAGCAAAATTACAACAAATCAGCAGTAAACGGTTTGTTAAATACACGCAATAACCTTCAACATTTGTTGTGAGCTGCAGGCTTTACACTTTCATGTGTCAAGAGTATTCATCATGTATTTCAATGTAAATCAGTGTATTTAGTTCTACATTTAGAAAAGATTTTCTTTATTATAGTAGCCGTTTTTTTAAGCTGTGTAAAGAATAACTGGTTTACAAAATAATTTTAAAATTGGTAAAGGCGTCTGCAACTTTTGTGAAGCATCAAATCACTGGCATATTAACTATCAATACATGTTCATTTCTGCATAAATGTATTATTGCTTTAAAAAAAGGTCACATATTGTGCATGTTTATTATACACAATTTGTACTAAGCGATCTAAAAAGTTCATATCAATAAGTTTTCTCTTTGCACCATCAGGTGGCAGTCTTTGTACTTTCATTTCGAGGATGCACATTGCATAAGTTTTATTAATATATATAACTTTATTTATTTTATTAATAACTATAACTTTATATACATAGTTTAAAAAATATTTACTCTTTTTCCAAGTGTATATAACTACTACTGTAAGAAAATATCAGAATTCGGAACATACTTTCTGTATTATATTTGCTTGAACTGAGCCGATCTAATCCTGTTTATATAAATTGAGCCTGCTCCCGATCAGGTTTATGCTAGCAGAACTGTTGCTATGACAACAACTCTCGGATCAGCTTTGAAGAACGAAACAATCCTGGATCGTGTCAAATCGTCAATATCCAAATCCAGCTAACTGAGTAATCCACGTACGAAGAACGGACCCCAGAGCTCCTTCACGGGACTCAACACTTGTAAACAATCGCTCCATCGGGCTCGCGCGACTCTCAGTCCCGCCCACACTCATCAGCGCTACCAAGCTGACCAATCCCAGAGCTTGTGCTATGTGTCACTGCGACGTGTAGTTACATTATTTGAGAGGTGCACGTCAGCGACGCCGATAGCCACGGCGAGGGCTATGCGTCTGCGTGTAGGCCGCGCTGTAGCATACGCGTGCGCTTGACGCAGAAGTATAAATCAGCCTTAACACCTACAAAAAAATAAAAACCTTCATTTTAATGTCACGGGGCCTTTAAATAAAAATGTACTACAGTATTTCTAACTGCATGTGTTTAAATGAAATGATGGATGTTTATTTTTCTTTTTTAAGTAATATTTACAATAGATGCCAAACGTGACATCCATATGAGATGCTGTACAATGTTTGGTTTAAAATGTGAGATGGATATTAGGACAAGGAAATAAACATGTCTTACAATAAACATGTTTCCATGATAACTAAATAATCGAACTCTAATGCTGCGCATAAACAAAAATCACTCCTGATGGCATAATTATATAAGGTTTATATAGAGTTAGAAAATACTCATCAACATAACATCAATATGTTTGTGTATAAGAGCAAAGCATGAACTGTTATCACAGAAATGGAGCTTTAAACATTCAAATAAATGTAATTTATTGGTGTAATGTAAATAAATGTAAGTACATGTAATAAATTTATTTTCATAATTGATTTTTAAAAATTATTATTTATAAAAAATTATTATTATGTTTGCATTTAGGACAAAAATAGTTTACACACCAAAAAATATTTTCAGACATACATTAAGCTAAGTCTCTATGTCAAAAGCAAATAATTTCAAATAGGAAATGTAGTACGTTCACTCACATATTTACATCATAATAAGTCTAGGTCAGAAAAAAAACTAAACATAGATAGACAGATAAACAGACAGACAGCTGTGTGTGCTAATGTCACTCTCTCTGATGATGGAGCATTATTTGCTATTTTATTTCACAAAAGAGATTTTAAATGATGTTAAGACACTTTAGTGGCATGAAATGTATTTAAAAACATTTTAAATATGTAAAAAATAATTTATTGTGAATATCAAAACAGGAGAGCTCATCTTTGATCCATATATTCCACGGTATTAAAAATGAATGTATATATTTTTCATGCAAAGACAATATTTTCCATCCCCCTTCCCCAATTTGCTGTGAAAAAAAAAAACTATTTTGCGACTCAAACACACTAGCAGCTTCTTAAAACGACAGCTAAACTTTTAAGAGGCATCAGATTTATAGTTTACCCAAAAATTAAAGATATTTACTTGTTTTAAAGAGTTTTCCTTCTAACGAAAAAAGAAATATGTCTAAAAAATGTTAGACCTGTAACCATTGAATTCCATTTTATTTGTTTTTCCTACTATGGAAGTCAATGGTTACATGCTTTCAGCTTTCAAGTTCAAAATATCATCTTTTGTGTTTAATAGAATAAACAAACTCATTTTTGTGTTATCTATTTAACACACACTCTCTTATCAAAACACACATACGGAAAACTGTGATCATACAGTCAGTTTAGATCAGTAGTTATCAAACCCTGCCATGAAACCTCTATTTACAGGCTGATGAGCTGAATCAGTCAATAATAAACCCTTTGAAGCGCTAAAAGGCTGCAATGTTGTTCTTAATCCAAATAATTTGTTCTATTGAGACAAAGTCGGTTTTACATTTGCACATTCAGACTTTTCATTAATAGTATAATTTCAGAAAAGCCTTCTTTGCAAAATGTAAATGAGCAATTCCATGCAAATGTCAACCTCGCCGTGAAAAAAATGAAGTTTTCACCCAAAATACAGAAACTGTTTCTGGGTTTTTTGGGTAAGCAAGTATTTTACAGTACTTTAACAATACTCAAAAATGTCTCTGTCAATTTTTTCAAACTATTATATTTAATTTACCAAAGTCACACAAGTGGAAATTTCACATCTGTCACATCCATAACGACATTTTTTCCTCATAAATGTGAAAATATTAAATTAAATAAAACCAATCATGGTAGTTCTATAGAGAGCCAACTCTTATCCTGTTGATTAGCATCATGTCTTTTAGGTTGTGCAGTTTAATTCACAGAATTTCTACAAAGTATGTTGTATATTGTAAACTCGCAGACTTTGTCACATCCGTGAGGCATCTTTATTTCCCTCATTTAAAGTACAAAACATGTTTACAGATTGATATTTTTCGGGTCTCTTAATTTTGTGGTCAGTTGTTCTGGAAAATATAAACAAAAGTTTCAATATAATGTTAACATATACCTTCTATGCGAGTTTATGTTTTGAATTTTTACTGCAAATGTCACATCCATAACGCTGGAACTGCTCAAATAGTGAATTCACATTAGCAACCAATGACTATCGAAACACGACATTGTTCAAAGTAAAATAAATAGTGCTAATCAGTATTGGGGTAACGCATTACAAGTAACGTGAGTTACGTAATACTATTACGTCTCCATATAACAAGTTACACATTACTTAAAAAATTAAGTGATAACATTTAAGTAACATCAAGTTACTTATAATTTGCTGAATTCAAATTTGTGTAATAACGTTGAATCACACTCAATGAGAAAATGAGCTCCCCGCGGGAACGGACAGAATCCAAGATGGCAGAGCCTTACATTTCTGTGATGGCAGTATTCTGATTACTTTAAACACATAGAAAAAAAGGGATTATAGTCTCAATGGACAGAGATTTTACTGAACTAATAAGACAAAAATAAGTAGCAAACACATTGCATTCAACTTTCATTGAACTGTATATACGGTATGTATCGCGTCAGGGAGTTCTCAGAAGGTAACATTATTCTAGTTTTTTTTATTAGTTTTTTATTAAGGGTAAATGAAGGTTAGACAGTGAAATGCCCTGCAAGTTCAAGATAAAGCCTCAGGCAGGTATGAAAAAGCAACTCAAATGTAACGTAATGCATTACTTTCCATAAAAAATAAATAAGTAACACAACTAGTTACTTTTTTTTTTTTTTTTTTTAGGAGTAACTCATTATTGTAATGGATTACTTTCAAAAGTAACTTTCCCCAACACTGGTGCTAATTTTGTTTAGAAATCATACTTGCATGATATTTCAGACCCAATATTCAAAGTAGCTTGATAAACATTATAAAGAAGATGTCACTTGGCATTGACCGGTGTAGCAGTTGATTCTGTTCCCTTCTGGAATTTCAGTTACACCTCTACGAAGCATGTCCACTAACAGAGAATGCAGACACAACCACAACACAACTGAGTGTACGGAAAGCGAAAATAGACAAAAGTGTTGGCAATGATTTCATGTCTTGCAAAGCCAAAGTAGCGTAATAAAATTAATCTAACACTCCCATTACATATTTTCTGTGGTTCTTGTTTGTATTCTCAGCTTTTTTTCTAATGTCTGAGTTTATGCACCCTAGTTTAATATTGCGCATAGGCCTGCAGTTATGTTAGTTCTTTTCATAGTAAAGTTTGTAAAAATATGTACTTTCAGAACCACTTTGCTTTCTGTACACCCAGTTGGGTTTAGATGTGTCTGCATACTCTGTTAGTGTACACGCTTCGTAGAGGGGCAACTGGAATTCCAGAAGGGAACAGAATCGACTGCTGCACCGGTATAAGATTCTTGATGGTATGATAACCTTGGATAAAAATATCTCGGTTTCACGGTATTAAAGTATTGTAATTACTGCTCTAAAATAATCTTTTTTAAATGTCTGGGTAAAAAACAAAACCTTTTTTTTCCCAACAATGTATTTTATTTTTTGAAAGATTTATAATATTTCGGAACAGTAAACATGTCCGGCTAAATAATGCAAATGAATAATTGACTTCTGCTGTCTTCATTAGTTTCAAAAACACAGATTTCTTTACAATTTAAAACGGCATCTTTAGATAAAATTTTCTGCTTAAGATACTGTTGTCCTAAAAAAAGTAAATAAAAAAAACTCTTACAAATACCTTAGGAACTGTTTTACAGAACCTTGAAAAATTGAATCGTCCAATGCCTAGATGTCACTGTTCAAAAGTGAACGAATGTGCAAAAATAAAACCAGTTTCCTTCAATATTTTTACTTAAGGTAGCCGTAAATTGTATTTTAAAACCACTAAAAGCAGAATAGTGATTAAAAGAGAGAAAACAACAGCAGGAATCTTGTTTCTGAGGCCACATGACCTAAAACACCCTTATAATCAACCAAAAACAGTTTAAAATAAGCTTTAAATGAAATATACTAATATAAAACACCACAAGACATGCAATACTTTCCAGAGTCCTTCATGTGTTTGAGACAGAC